ATTCCCCCCTCCCCCGGTGGTGGAACTGCCCAAACCCCTTCCCCTGGTGCCGACCACCAGCGCGGCTCCCCCTCCTCCTCCTCCCCCTCCGCCGCCGCCGCTCCCCATCGATATCCCCGGGAACGGCGACGGCGGCAACAGCGGCGGCGGCGGCGGTGGCACGACCTACGCGGGCGACATCACCTACTTCGCGCTGGGGCTGGGGTCCTGCGGGTTCGACGACCTCAACAAGGACCACACGCACAACATCGTGGCGGTGTCGGCGCAGCTGATGGGCACCGTGTCCAACGGCAACCCCATGTGCGGCAAGACCATCACCATCAAGGCCAACGGCAAGACCATCCAAGCGCTCGTCCACGACAAGTGCCCCGTCTGCGCCCCCGGCGACATCGACGGCTCCGAGAAGATCTTCTTGGAGCTCTTCGGTTCGCTGGATGCTGGCCGCCAGAAGATCGAGTGGTGGTTCAACGACTAAACGGCCTTTTCCCTAAGTCGTTCGGTCTTTTTTGGCCTTTATTTTGGATGGGCGGAGCCGGGAGGCCGTATCCGGAACCCGGCGGCGACCCGGTCGGCTTGTTTTGGATGATGCATCCAACCGCCCCCCGGGCATTATGATGTGATGCCATTTTTTCGCTTCTGCCTTTACCCGTCACCAGACCATGTATGGGACGAGATATACCCCCTTTTTGTCAGCACAAATACAGAACAACACACTGGCGTCTTGGGCCTGCCTGCTCCAGGCTTGGAGTAAGGAAAAAGGGATAGGGCGCCAATAGATATGCCCTGGTCGATAGATCTTTTTTTTCATGTACTTACTTAGGGCAACCGAGTTTTTTTGAATTGACTGAATAGTTTATTTGGCGTTTGATTAGTTAGCCCAGCGTATTCCACTGGTAGCTGGGACTTGTACCTGCCGCCGTTCTCGTCTCATTTGGTCTCGTTTGCCATGTGTTTATGATTTGTGACAAACACCCTCTCGATGAGATCCACACACCACAAGACATCTGCCTTCATCCATCCACAAATACCACCACAACTCACCGATTCAAACTCAACAACCCCTCAATATACCTCCTCGTATCGACCCCTATCCCCTGCGCCAGCCGACTCGCCCCATCCGTCCACCCGCCCGAGGCACCACCCACATACGACACACTAACACCCCTAACGCCACCAACACCGCCATGGTCACTCGCCCGACGAACAAGGAAGATCTCCTTCCCCACCACCGCCGCGTGCTCGTCGCTCGCATCGTCCGACCCCTCCCCCTCGTCCAGCGACGACGCCGCCTGCTGCTGCTGCTGGACCTCCCCCCCGGTACCCCGCCGCTGTTCAAGAACGCGATTCCAGACGACCCACCACCCGCGGCTGGTCTTGCATGTGCGCTCCAGCGCAGCAAGGTCGCCACGTGAGCCGGCGAACATGTTGAGGATCTGGTTGTGGGTGTTGAGCGCCTCCACGCGCGACCAGGCTGCGGCTGGGGAGGAGGGCAGCGGGGCGAGGATGGTTGAGGGGTTGGGGATGAGGAAGGTGGGGTTGGGGATGTTGGGGATGGTGGAGTGGATTGTGAGGGTGTGGGGGTCGAAGACCAGGTCGTAGATCTCGGACTGGGAGGTGGTGGGGACGCCGAGGTTTGGCTTATCCGGTCGGTAGGCGGTGGAGGTGAGGAGGGGTTTGTGGAGGCGGGTGAGTTGTGAGTGGAGGGATTGAGAGAGCTCGTCCCAGGAGGGGGTGGTTGTGTTGGGCTGGAAGAGGAGGATGTAGATGAAGGGTCTGTGGGCGTAGATGACGGGCCGCAGCTGAGTTGTGTTCGTCTTCTTAGGAGTTTGATTGCTGGGATCGATGCTTGGTGAGCCAACGACGCCCAACTCCCCGCCCTGGCGGCTTTTGGGGTCAAGCTCGACTGTGACAGTCGGCGGGCTAGCGCGTTCCGCCCGTTCTGGGGAGTCTAACTGCTCTGGTTGCTCTGATTCAGTACCTTGCTTGTCGAGTCCGACCAGAAAGAAGCCAGCGTCCGGGTCCTTTGCGGGCTTCTGTGCAGCAGCGTTTTCAGTGTCGGCTGGGTTTGGTGTTGATTCGTCGTCTGCGTCCGAGTTTGTTGCAGGGCTAGCAGTACCCAGAGACCAGTAAGTGCCGTAGCCAAGCTTGAGGTAGCTGAACATTTTGTCCATGCCGCCGTTGGCCTCCCCGGCGTCTGGTAGAGCGCTCTCGGCGGCTTGACCGGGCTGAGCATCCCCATCTTGGATCCCAGGAGCGCCACTTGCTTCCGGCGTTGCAGATTTCGGTTTCGTACTTCTTTGGACCTTCTTTCCATCCCCAGCAGCAGCCACTCTAGCAACGCCCGCTTTCTTACCAACCGTCCTCCTCCTCTTCGTCCGCGCCGCGCCGCCAGCAACTGCGCCATCAAACACACCATACGCACTCTCGCCCCACGTATAAACATCCTCCATCCAACTGGCCACCGCCCTCAGCGACGGTCTCAAGAGCGCCCCAGCCCCCAAGAAAACCAGCCCATCCTCCGGCCCAACCTCCTTCCCCAACCCAAGCCAGCCCTCCCCCTCCCCCACGACAGCCCGCTCCTTCCCCTTCCCTCCACCCTTCCCAACAAAAGTGGGAACCAAAAAACTGCGGGCAAGGGAGGGGAGAGGGGGGCGATCCTGAATTCCCTTAAATAAAAAAAAAAAATAAGCTCTCCAAGGCCCCAGTCCTCCTAAAAAAAAAAACAACAAAAGAAAAACGAAAGGAAAGACAATGATGGAAAAAGAAAAAC